GATCTGATGTGTTTTCTAAGTGTTACTTTAATTTTCTTGAGCAGTGTATAAAATAAAAAAACCTGCAGAAGAAACACTTCTCCAAATCGATATTTTTAGCATAATGCAAATAAAAGGAAACTTCCTCTGATTAATGTATATATTAGAGAGAGCAATTGAACTTCCACTGACAATATTGACTGTTTATTGTATATTCTCATCTCTGAATAGCTAGGTAACGTTTGAGAGATTAAGCACAACTTTTACGCAAGTAGAAGTAGAGGAACTTCACAAGAATATTAGTCGAATAAAAGTAAAAAGTGTCATGCAGGAAAATTTGTCCTAAAAAAAAAAAAAAAAAAAAAAATATTTCTTCAGTAAATGTAACTAAATAAATGTAATTAGTTACTACTCAAAGCACCAGATCCCTCCTGTTCAGAGTGCAATAAAATAAAATAACTCACGTAAAAGAACGGTCTCTTAAGTAAAAAAGTTACTCAAATTAAAACAAAAATTATATATACATTTTTGTTTCAATAAAAGTTAATAGTTACTTTTTCGTAAGAAGAAAAAATCCCTCCGGTGTTTCATTAAAAAGTAGAGAGATTTTGGCCTTAAACGTTGCAATAAATAGGAGAAATTAACCTTTAAGGAAACAAGTTCATTCTCAACAACAATGTTTTATTTGGTAAAATGGTAACGTACTTATGTAGCATGTTATCCTGCTTCTTTATTTTCAAGATATTTAATCACCCATTAATAAAAATAATCACACTGACATATAAAAATTCTGTTTTACATTTGTTTTGGTTTTGTTTTTTGTTACATTGTTCCTTTACGTCAAATTGTAAACACAAATCTAATCCCATCTATGTATAACATGTATTTAAATATATGTAGTATTTAGAAAGTCCAGTTGAAACCACTGGACTGCATGCCATCCTACTTAACATCTAATAACTCACATAAACTTTGCCATTACTTTCCAGAGCGTCACAGAGTCAGCACCGAAGCTAAAATGGTGTTTGACACAAACTTCCAGACATGTCAATATAATTCTTTACATTCACCCTCCTCATTGTTTAACCCCCTGGTTTTATTGCACTCCAGTGAAAAAAGCAACAGGAAACCAGGCTCTCTGTGGATGGAGGACCACCCCACACCCCTCTGTGTTATTAAGATGTTCGCTGGGTTGTTCAATCACCAGTTTGACGACGACGATTACAAAAGCAAAGTGTGTCAGCAGAGGTTGCACAAAGGAGCGCTGGAATGCTAAAAGCCTCCCTGGGAGTTGTTCTAAACGCCCCAAAGTGATTGTTGAGGAGTTAACGGTGGTGCGTTCTCCTCCCCTTTCCTCTTCTAAGGGAGACACATCTGCTACATCTGGATGAAGATGTAACTTTCTACAATCAGTCCACATTTATCAGTACATCATGCAATGATTCTATGATAAACTTCCAGGGATCAGCTGGAGTACAATTCTTTTGCAGTTTTAATGTAACTTCAGTTACAGTTAAAGTCTGTT